AGAAAATCTATTTAATATATATGCATAACGTGTACCATTTGTAGTATCGTGAAATACCAACAAACAAAAAAGAATTAAATGGAAAATAAAGCCAAATTGAAAACACAAAATTAAAGCAAAAATTAAAAAAAACACCCAAACATTTAGTACCGGTTGGGTACTAATGTCCTACACGCACACGGACCTGGCTCGTACCACGTGTTTGCACTTTAGCGCCGGTTCGTCAACCGGTACTAAAGGAGGGGGGGGGGGGCTTTAGTTCCCACTCCTTAGTTCCGGTTCACCAACCGGCACTAAAGGCCGTCACGAACCGGCACTAAAGTCCGGTTCTGCACTAATGGTACAAAGGCCACGTGTAATTCATATCTACTCGATATTAGTATATTTCAGTCATTAAAAAAGTAATTCAGTTTGGACGACTACGTCACAAGTGTTTGATGATTTTAGGTTCTCGCTCGTTAAGGTGGCAGCTTTGATGTGACTCTTTTGATACCGAGAAGTTAGCTGGGCATGTGTAGGTGTAGGTCTAGTCATCGATATGCGGTTGTCATTGCTAAAATTATCGAGAGTGATGTGCAAGCGAGACTTCCCTACACGATCCTTGCACAACACTAACATGGATGATACAGATTGAAAACAAAAAGGAAATCAACAGCTCATCTGAAATGTCGTCCAAGGATCGTGCATTTTTTTGTCGTCCATGCAGCATCACTCAAAAAATATTGTTGACAATCATCTCTGATAAGCTTTGCATAATTGCGTTCGAGCGGTGATCTACTCATCTACTCCCTCTGTCCCAAAATATAAGAACGTTTTTAACGCTAATTCGTCTGTGTACATGCGGCTACGCGAGGACATTATCCGCACCACTGGCAGCCCACGCGATTCGTGCTAACTCCAATACGACGTGCGCGTATAAACTCAGCCGGGCAGCGTACAACATCTTGTATACCGCGCGTATTCTTCTCTGCCTTCATTCAAGGCCCACATGCCATCTGGTGTTGATAACGGCTACCTGCAATAGGCGTCAGCGACCGGCGCCACGACATTTACTGACCTGTAGCCACAACGGATACATGCACCAGGCGGGACTTAGGTGGTGTTGGCCATGCTTCAGTCTCAACGGCTACCCGAGCGACGCTCCTCTCTGCCTTTTTAAACGCCATGCCTCCTTGCTTCGGATGGCCATTCCAAGCAGCTCCCCTTCTCCATTGCTCTCACATTAGCCGCGCTTCCCAAGCATGTGTTCGTCCGCGTCCCGTAGTAGTTCAACACCACCTACGTCTCACCACACGAGCAATCAGATGCCTCCACTCCCTCTCATCCGTTGCCCCGAATGCAACGCCGGCTACGTCGTCTGGTTTGTCTCCGGTACAGAACTTAACCCAGGGAGGCACTTCTACAAGTGTGAACGGAATGGGGTAAGTTTTCCGAGACCTTCTCATTCCACCTTCTCCGCGGCATTCTAATCTTTGTTCATGGTGCAGCACGGAGGTTGCAGGTTCTGGAAGTGGGAGAACAAGTACATACAGTACTTGAGCGAGCGATGGGGACATCTGATCTCGCACGCGAGCGTCCATCGCCACGTCGCACTGCTCGAGCAGAACCAAGCATTCCTGAAGAAGATTTTCATGTTGTGCCTCGCGAATTTGGTGGTCATGGTCACTATCTCCATCCACAAGTTATGAAGTATCATCCGCCCTGCGCACGGACATGGGCACGGCTAGCGCACTGCTGTAGTATCAAATTTAGTGTATCCGTTACGCGTAGGTACTGCCGTTTCTTTTTGTATGTTCTAGTATCCCATGCGTATGTGCATGTATAGGTTACAACGTTTTAGCGAGCCCATGCAGGCCGCGAGTGGGTGCGTAACCAAATTATCTGGATGGCGTATTGAGTGGGGCACCCACCGTAATTAAACATGTCTCAAATCAGGAAACAGATCCATTGCGAGATCAGATGCATTGTTATTTACCTGACAAAATGGTAATTGGTCTTTTTCCTCCCATCATCTTAACAAACTCATCAAAAATCCATTTAAAGGTGTCGACCGTCTCGTCTCACATGAGCACACCAGCATACAACACGCTTTGAAAGTGGTTATTCACGCCAACAAAAATACCGAATGGCATATCGTACAAATTAGTCTTGTATGTGGTGTCGAACGTCACCACATCGCCAAAATGGTGGTACTGCTTTTTGCTACGTCCATTCGTCCACATGAGAGTGTGTATTCTACTTTCTTCATCCACCTGAACATTGTAGGTGAACTCGCTGTCTTGTACTTTCATCTCTGAAAAAATTGCCATCGTCTTCCGTACATCGTCGGCGGCCTGCTCCCTGCTCAGCTTGCCACACAGTGTCCTCAGGCACCTTTTGGTGAATGGCACATTTTCAACCCTCCCAAAAAAAGTTGCAAGAATGCTGTAAACTTTGCTCAGGTTCACATTGTTCTCTCTAAGCTGAGATACTAGCTCTCTTGTATATTTGTCGATATGCCTATGCGAAGGGAAATGCAGCTTCTCAGCACATGTGTTTAACATCTGGTGATTGTGGTTTGACCTGAATTCGTTGATGTACCATCCATTGTCCTCTGTCCGCAAAAGTCTTATCATAGCTTGGCATTGACAACGTGATGATGTTGAGTTCGCCTCTTTTGGCTTGCCCTGTTTCGTAACGAAGATTAAAAATTGTAAACATCAAAGAGCACGAATCAATTAAATGGTGGTTACTCACCGAGCAGCAACACACGAACTCCTGCATGCATCTCGTGCCTTTTACATTGGTTCTGCTCTTTGCGTATCTGATGCCAAACCCTGTCTCCCAGGAATAAAGATTGTAAAAATCGTAGGCCTCGTTTATAGAATCGAACGTCAGTCCAACTGATGGCGTCACTACGGTGTCTGTTTTCCTTTCAGCAAATCCTGTCAGTGCTGTTTCCAGGGCTGTCACCCTGTCAGCACTTGTTGCTCTCTCGTCTGGCACTGCAACCCTCCTGTTTCTGAAACCAGCAAGGAAAACGAGACCGTGTATGATTAATCAGAGTGACTTGGACGCAGTTGATAACTTCTGGTAGCAAGTAATTACCTTGTAACCCACCCGACTTTGTCATCAAGGGCCGCGTATCTATTATCCATCCTCGAAGCCCTATTCTCGTCTAGATCCGTGGTGTCTGTTTCTGTCCTAACGTCGACAGAATCCAACAAATCAGCGAATCCGCCGCTGGGGTCGTCCTCGACAACCTCTCGTAGGACGCTCAGCCTCTCCGAATCGATGCCAAAAACAGCGGAATCAGGGTAGTTAGAAATGCCCCACGAGGAGACAGATCTGTTCCTTTCCGCCACAAACGCAGACATGCTATGTAAGGAGGGCGCGGGGGAGATCTGTTAGAGGGTGTCTAATACTATATTCCAGCTAAAACAAAGTCAATTCATATGGATCCTCACGGACTAACCTGGATTCCCCTGCTTCAGCTGAAGCCATGCCCTCTGCTCCGCTGGCGGCCCTGTGAGCGTGAGGCTTCAAGAAGATGTACAGTGCCGCACCGGTGGAAGCATTAGCATGCGTGCTAAATGACGACGCGCCCAACGTCAGGGCAGTTATTACCCTAGTGCCGCACCGGTGTATCCGCAAAAGGACAAACGCGTATTTGTATGAAAATAAATGCTTGTGGCCCTCTTACCAGGATGTATAGCCGGCGTATTCACAGACAAAAAAAGCAAAACACTGTGCGGTATTTGCGCAGGGGGGAGTGGCGCTAATTTAACTGCGAATCACGGCGCGTTGCGGACGCACGAGATAAAGACCTCGCGTGGGGGCAATGTCCTGAAAATTCGCGTCCCGTTTTTAACACTAGCTTAGTGTCAAAAAAGTTCTTATATTTTGAGACGGAGGGAGTATGTTGTATTTCTTTCTTTCTATGTATCTAGTTCTGTTTCATGTTTATTCACTTGATCAATTAGGATCCTGTGATGCTGACTTTAACCTATCAGTCTATCACCCAACACCCATCGTCCCTCTCATGGATGCTCTTCTAGTTAATTCGTGTTTCCCGAGTGTCATGCATATGCATGGTACGTATGGTACATGAGTAACAAGTGTGTATGCGCAAGAGGCCGACACACATGAATTTGTGATGGACCCATGCACGCATCGTTATCGATCACATGCTACCACACGCATGATGCATCGTGTTGATGACGCAAGGGACCGTCCTATATGCTACCACTTCGCTAGCTATTCCTACATGTTCGGACAAATACGTTGTACGCTACACGTAGTGTGACCGGCCAACTGTTGGATCCACAAGGACGGTCGTTCCAACCCTTGGCCACGTCTCTGTCCGAAATTGGCGGTGATCAATCAGCGCGGTAGCTTGCGTAAGGGAACCCCTCGCCGGAGATGGCGCCTTGGCCTTCTTGGTCTCTGAGGTGGTGGCGACGGTGGCCGGTGGTCGAATGGATGCGGAATTCCTATTCGCCTATTTGTCGGTGAAACAAACTCGTAAGTCAAAATCCTGGTCGATTTTACCCTGAACTATGCAATACCCGTCAAAACTAAACCCTGCCATCGTTTGGCGTTGAAGTGTGCCCGCCTGCTACAACATGGAGTGACATGGACCGTCAAGGCAGTGGCGCTGGCTCATCAATGGGTTCCTCGTCCATCGTCCCATCATCATAGCCGACCTCCGGTCAAGCTCGCCGGGAAGCCATCCTCTGTCCGGCTCACGCGTCGGGCCTGCTGGCTGGTCGCAATGCGATAAGCTCCTGCTTCTGCTCCATCAAGAGGCCCTCCCGTATACATCGCTCTATAGCTCACGGTCATGGCGTAGATGGTGCACCAAGGAGTATATCGTCGGGAGCGGAGGTGGATCATGTCGGGCCTGACCACACATAAATTTGGCTTAATAAAGATTACCATATCATTAATGGTTTTCTCTCTCAAAAATTACATTATTTTATGCATTTTCAAATAGTACAGAACGCAGCAGAAACGCTCGCTAGAACCAATTCCTTTTTCCTTGTTTTGGAAGGTTTCTATCCGGGTCCCAAAGCAAATACTTGATGCGCAATAACGGGCCATAGCAAGGCACTGAGGACGTAGGCGTAGTATAACATTTATTATGAGACGGTATCTATCTATGTTATTATGACCCTCTCTTTCTTTTTTAATTGCCTGCCACATAAGGCTGGTCATAGTGGGAGTAACATAGGTAGTAACATAGATGCCACATAAGCAAAAATGGTGATGTGGCAAGTAGTTAATGCGGAGAGAGGCAAATAAAGTAACCTAATATGTTACCACCACATAACGTTTTCCAATGCAAAATGAGTCTACAAGACAATAAATGAACATGTGTATCTTACTACTCATATGACACTTCCCACTATAAGGATAGTAACATAGAGTAGTAACGTATGCATGTTACTACTCTAAGTTACTCCCCACTATGACAGCATGTTTGCGAGTCCCAAATATATGATACTAGTTATGTTATCCCGTTATGGGCAGTCTTACGCATGTCAGTGGCAAGCGCTGGACCCTCTCCTCTCCTCCCCACCACACACGTACGTGGCACGCGGGGACCGAGCCACCGTTTTTCCTCGGCCTTGTGCTCGCCTCTGCCTGCCTTGCCTCGGGAACGCAAGGGAAGGGAGGCAGTACCCCTGTCTCGTGCTTTGGATTTTGGCTGCTGCTTCGAATGGTTTTTGCGCTGCTTGAAGCATTTTCCATGCTGCGGATAGTTGTGTATTGTGGTGGTGACGTGCATTATTTTTTAGATCCCGTGGTGACATGCATGCATACATGCAGGGCCCCATGGATGGAAAGGTGTCCATCCAAGTCTGCCTATGCGCCTACGTCCTCAGTGCTATACATGAATAGCATCGCGTAGGGTGAGTAGGGTGGTAGTAGACGGGAGCGTGCCGCCGTCGGCCCGGTCCGAGAGGAGCGGCGGGGGCCTCCAGCCATGCAAATCCACGTGTAGCGATTCCAGCGGCCGGGAGAGTACGACTGCGTGTACAGAGGTGCGCACGCCTACCTGCGTGCCTGCGTGCCTACGTGGGTCACGTCCGACGCGACGCGCGCGATGGCCCTCCCTCATGCTGACGGATGCTCCATCGATCGCTGCCAGTACCTGCTCCATCTCGTATTTTATAGCATTTCTTCCCATTCCTAACCGCTCCCCGTCGTCGACCTCGCCGGCCGGCCGCAGCCATGGGCTTTGGAACTACGGCCGCAAGGGGAAGCACGACCGCGAGGCCGGCTCCTCCTCGGGCCACCGCCGCGGATACGTGAAGAAGGAGGAGCCCGCATCACCGCCGCGCTCCTCCCGTCGAGCCCCCGCGCCGGCTCCCTTCACCATTGCTCCTAGGCCCGCCGACGAGCGCGACCGGCAGTATATCTGCGCGGACGTGTGCCGGAGGTACTGGGAGACAAGGACGTCGGTCCCGTGGGGCGACATCCACCTCTCCAACGGATGGCATCTCTCCGCGGACCGGGTCCCCATCCCGCCGGTGCCGGCGAGCGGCCGTGCCCGGCGCGATGAGATCGCGCGCCGCCGCCGCGTCTTCCCCGACGACCTGTACTACAACCACAGGTATGCCCCCGACTCCCCGCTGTGGGACACATGGCTCCAGGACGAGCACGATACGCGCCGCATGTCGTACTTCGCCGGCACGGTGTCGGG